TTGAATTCAAAGCTGAGTTTTTGGGAAGGGTTTCCAGGGCTGAGGATTTTGGGAGTTGGAAGGGAAATGACAGGGAAAGCCCAATTTCCTGCCTGAAATGGGGGAATCGGGACACTTTGGGGAGGTTTTGTCCCATTCCTGCCATCCCAGGACTGACATTCCGGTGCTCTGCCCTGGCTCTCCTTGTCCCGTTACCTGATCTCACCTGGAGATTCCTGGTGGGGTTTTGTCCTTCATTAGTGACCCCTCATCACAAAAAAAAAATGAGCTAATTAACTAATTTTCCCTCTCTTTTTTCCCCAGGGTGTCACCACTCCAGCCTCAGCCAAACATTCCCTGGATCTATCCCTGTCCTGGTCCCATCAGGAACTGGGTCTGTCCCAGTCTCACCATGGATTGGGTCTGTCCCGTTCCCATCAGGAATTGGGTCTGTCCAGGTCCCATTCCCATCGGGAATTGGGCCTATTCCTGTCCTGTTCCCATCAGCAATGGGGTCTGTCCTGGTCCCATCACGAGTTGAATCTATCCCTACCCCATTCCCACCATGGATTGGGTCTGTCCCTGTCCCAGGTCTCCCCAGGAACTGGGTCTATCCCTGTCCCGTTCCCATCAGGAATTGTGTCTGTCCTTCTCCCTGTCCCATCAGGAATTGGATCTGTTCCTGTCCCATTCTCATCAGGAACTGGGTCTGTCCAGGTCCCGTTCCCATCAGGAATTGGGTCTATTCCTGTCCCGTTCCCATCAGGAAAGGGATCTATTCCTCTCCCTGTCCCATCAGGAAAGGGATCTATTCCTCTCCCTGTCCCATCAGGAATTGGGTCTGTCCCTGTCCCCTTCCCATCAGGAAAGGGATCTATTCCTCTCCTTGTTCCCATTAGGAATTGGGTCTGTCCCTGTCCCGTTCCCAGTCCTGGTCCCGGTCAGAATCGGGAGGGACCGGCCGGTGCTCGGAGGCTCCTCCTGGGCCGCGCTGACCCCGGGCCGGGTCTGGGGGGCGGCGGCTCCCGCGGGCTCCGCTCCGTGTCCCCCCCCAGCCCCTCACGGTCCCCGCCAGG